ATTTATCAAAAAGATATAGGGACAAGGTTTTCACACAGACAGCTCTCATTGTAAGACAGCGAGCAACTCCATTTGTCTGTCCGAGTTCGCAACAGTAACTAAGGGGGGCGGGGCTTACCGATAGGTGAATTGTATTGTATGTTAGGGTGACCATACGTGCCATTTTCCCAGGACGCGTCCTGGCCAGGATTTCTATATTGCCTAAAATATCTAGGTTTTGGCTTTGTTTGCGTGTGTAGACCGATCGGTGTATGACATCAAAATACCATACAGACGGTTCCTTATGCTTTCAAAATGCTCTCGAGGTATTTTGATGTCATACACCGATTGGACCATACGCGTCCTGGGAAAATAGCACGTATGGTCACCCTATTGTATGTTCTCTAACTGAACTAAATGATTTTTATTACAATAAAAAAAACTAAAACGACAGTGGGGTGGGGGGGGTCGGTGCCACAGTGGGCCAGGGATGTAACCGGTGTTGCGGCTTAACACCGGTAACAACACCGACTATCACAGCAAGTCTAGTCTGAAACAGTGGACAGGCCAGAAATTTTAAATTGAGTGGACCTGGGTAACATAGGGTGGACCTCATCATTTTACAATAGCCTACATGAGATAAAAATAAGGATGCAAATTTCGTGTGATTTTTGTGATCGGAACGACTTTGTATGTATGATGGCCAGTTTTTCCTCTGTGACTATTTACAAAGTCGGTGAGTGTATGATGCCTAGTGTTTTAAAATCTGTTCAGATTTTAAAAGTAGTGTATTCCAGCATGGAACAGATTTTAAAACGCTAGTCATTATACACTTACTGACTTCGTAAACAGTCACAAAGGAAAAACTGGGCATACACTAAACGCCTGAGGATCACACACTATCATTCCGATCACAACAAACTCATGCAGAAGTGTGCGCCTTGTTGCAGATGCATGACAAATGAAAACAATGTGTGGTTCAAAATCGGCTGAAAATATCAAACATGTTTGATCTCCTCTGCCTGGATGGAATCAAAGTCTGAAGCTATTTTCTATTAAATCTGTCGACTCAAATCTGCAGACTGGCTCTGACTTTCAGCAAATATTGCGTGAACTTCTCCAGACTGTAAATCGGGGTAAAAGTTGTGTAGTGTATTCCAGCCTTTAGAGTGACATTACATACTGCTTTGAACATCTAAGATCCGATCGCATTGCGATGATGATGATGCTGTGTTTTCCAACGTCATTTGTAATCGTTGGGAAGTTCAACCAGTAGAAACTGGATCTCAGGTATGACGGATGGGACGGTGACTAAAGACCAATCAGGGACTGTTTTACAGCAGGAGCACGCTTGGATTGGATTGATCGCTTATATTGACAGCTCTTGCGTTCACAACAGAAAAGAAGCGCAAAACTGGAAGATCAGTGCTCATCCACCAGGATCTTATTACTACTTAATTATTTTTTTTCTTTTACTTGTTCACACATGCAAGTTATTTGTATGTTCATGTATTTCAGCAATTAATGTAATGTATGCAGGATTTTTCTTCTTCCCTTATTTGATTGGGTGGGCCAGCCGTCAATCTGAGTGGGCCAGTGCCACCCTGGCCCTTATGTAGCCTTGCCACTGGTCTGAAAGTGAGCATATTTAAATTTTTGGGGTGACTATTCTTTTAAGCAAGTAAAATAATAAATATGTGTCAGTTTAACACAAAGACGTTACAGAGACAGTAATTTATTGGATCACTGTTACACCACAATAAAAGATGCATATCACTCTGTCCCATGGGCAGCTTTGGGGCTCTCTGATCACTGCCTGGTTCATCTTATACCGACCTACAGGCAGAAGCTGAAATCAGCTAAACCTGTAATAAGGACTGTAAAAAGATGGACTAATGAAGCAGAGCGGGATTTACAAGCCTGCTTCGACTGCACTGATTGGAGTATTTTTGAAGCTGCAGCCACTGATCTGGACGAGATTACAGAGACTGTAACTTCATACATCAGTTTCTGTGAGGATATGTGCATTCCTACCAGAACATTCTTATCATTCACACTGATTGGATTGTTTTTGAAGCTGCTGCCACCGATCTGGACGAGCTCACAGAGACTGTAACTTCATATATCAATTTCTGTGAGGATATGTGCATCCCCACCAGGACATTCTTATCATACAATAATGATAAACCGTGGTTTCCTGGGAAACTCAAACAGCTTTGTCATGCCAAAGAGGATGCTTACAGAAGTGGGGATAAAATCTTGTATAACCAGAAACAGACTAACAAAGGAGATCAGGGTGGCTAAAAACTACTCTGAAAAGCCCGTTTCCAGCCAATGACCCGGCATCAGTCTGGACAGGCCTGATGAACATCACTAAGTAGTGAAGTGACATGTGGCCAAGTATGGTGACCCATACTCGGAATTTGTGTGCTGCATTTAACCCATCCAAGTGCACACACACAATAGTGAACACACACCCGGAGCAGTGGGCAGCCATATTGCTGCGGCGCCCGGGGAGCAGTTGGGGGTTTGGTTCTTGCTCAAGGGTCTCACCTCAGTCATGGTATTGAGGGTGGA